ACAAATTAATGCTTAAAACATTCACGAGCCACAAAGCAGCAGTGTTTTCAAGCTTCGTGGCCAGTTTTGTTTCGTTTTTAACTTTAGTCACAATTGGGGTTGATAATTTGCTTCACTGTGCATTGAATTGCATTCTTAAATTTATAGATTTTAGCTTGAAGTTTAAGATCAGGTTTTCTTGCACTATAAGAAGTTGACAGATATCTGATGCCACAGTGATTAGCAGGTAGGGTATTTCTTTTGTTTATTTGTTTTGTTGTCTTCTTTTCTCATGTCTTATGCAGTGTTTCTATCAAAAGTACACCAGAAGCTTTACCCTGCAGCTCCCATAATACAGAAGGAACCCAGCCCAGCCCAAGCTGATAAAACCTACATGAAATGAAATGCCTGTCAGGGGGACACTGCTGGTGGTAAGAACAGACTCAGTTCTGCGGTGAAACCGCTGCTAATATATATATACATGTTGTTGTTGTTTTTTTAAATTTATTTGCCACTTCTGTCTCAGGAGATGCAGGGCAGACACAGAGTGCAGCCAGTCCCAGCAGGCGGATGTACATGCCTTCTCCCGCAGAGACTCATTCAGAGAAATCCTTCACCCAGATAGAAAGCTGAAATAATGCCAAGGGTCAAGCTGGTAAGGCAACCATAGTCTTACATTTATGGGCTTGCGCTATGCACCATAAAGCTACAGTAGGAGTGATGTGCTGCATGGGTTTTTCCTAGCTGGCTCCCTGATTGTCTCTGCCACTCTAGATAAGGGAAAGGGACAGCAATAATCCACGTGTTCCTAAGCTGAAGAGAATTTGAACGCAACACGGATGGCATTTGAAACATGGGTGAATGTGTCCTTACTTTGATCTATTAAATGTGTTGTTTGTCAGAATAAACTGATATATCTTAGCTTACCTTCAGTTAAATTGGGAGCTGATGTTAATGCCGAGTTCAAATGTTCTTGATCTGTGGTCACTAGATTTGGCCGGCAGTTTGATTCATATCACATGCTTGACATGTGAAGTGTTTATTTTGTCTAGACTTTCTCTTATCATAGATAAGATATAATTTCTCTCACCACAGGACCAGCTACTCAACCTCCCGTCTGTAAGGCTGACTCGTTGTCACCTCGGATGTGGATCTTATATCCACAAGGCTGTGGCGACTGTATCTTGGGCGCAGCGTAGATGTTGAACTACGCGCACCAGAACATAAATACTACAAACGCGAACACACACTATAACACACATTTTTAGGCACACAACTCGGAGAGAGAGAGGGACTGCTGCATTCATTCACGTCGCCATCTTAGTCCAAGACGTTATCTGTGCTAAGCAACACGCTGATGAAGTCACTTAGTTTCATTTTAGCCTACCACAAAGACACAATAAACATTGTATAGTTGTACATGATGTGCAAAGATTGTGGCTAAGTGAGCTGCCAACAGTGGCAAGAAAAAGTATGTGAACCTTTTTAGAATTTCATGGTTTGCTGCATGAATTTGTCATAAATTGTGATCTTCATCTAAGTCAAAACTACTGACAATAACCTCAACCAGGTGCTTCCTGTAGCTGTAGATTAGACCTGCACATCATTCAGGAGGAGTTTTAGCCCATTCTTCTGGCAGAACTGCTTTAGCTCTGTCATATTCTTTGGACGTCTCCCGTGTATGGCTCTCTTCAAGTCATTCCATAGCTTCTCTATTGGGTTGAGGTCTGGGCTCACAGAGTTTCAGCAGATATACAGATATTCTCACATTATCCTGAAGAATTTTTTGATACACTTGGGAATTCATCTTCCCCTCAGTGATTGCAAGCTGGCCAGGCCCTGATACAGCAAAGCAGGCCCAAATCATGATGTTTCCTCCACCATACTTTACGGTTGGGATGAGGTTTTCATCATGATACGCAGTGCCCTTTTTACGCCAGATGTAGTGCTGCATGTTCTTTCCAAATAGTTCAATCTTAGTTTTATCAGCCCACAAAACGTTTTGCCATTACCGCTGTGGAGTGTCAGTGTGTTCTTTCGCAAACTTCAGGCGTGCAGCAATGTTCTTTTTAGTAAGCAGCAGCTTCCTTCGTGGTGTCCTGCCATAGACACCCTGCTTGTTAAATGTTTTATGTACTGTAGACTCATGAACATTAGAGCCAGTTCTAATGATGCCTTCAAATCTTTGGCTGTCACTCTTTTTTTTTTTTACCTCATTGATGAGTCTTCGTTGTGCTCTTGGGGTAATTTTGACGGGGCGCCCACTTTTGGGTAGAGTAGCCACAGTCCCAAAGTGTCTCCATTTGTAGAT